GCGCTTGCGCTTCTAAACCCTTAACCAAGAATCCAAAAACCCAAAAACCCAAAAACCCAAAAACCCAAAAACCCAAAACCCAAAAACCCCAAACCCAAAAACCCCAAACCCCAAACCCTAAACCCTAAACCCCCGTTTCTGAGGTGCTGGGCGCGGGAGGAGGGGCCGGTAGCGCTGCTGTGGCGATCCTCGCCCAGCTGGGCTTCCATGCCTCTGCCTTACAAGGGGGGGTTTAGGGTTTAGGGTTTACGGTTTAGGGTTTGGGTTGTAGGGTTTAGGGTTTGGGGTGTAGGGTTTAGGGTTTGGGGTTTGGGGTTTGGGTTTAGGCCCTTGGGTCCTTTGATTTTGCCCGAGGGTTAAAAGGGTTTAGGGCTATAGGGTTTAGGGATTTGGTTTTAGGGCTATAGGGTTTAGGGTTTAGGGTTTAGGGTTTAGGGTTTAGGGTTTAGGGGTAAAAAAGGAACAACAAAAAAGGTGCAAACAAAAACAGTTCAAAAGAAGTAAAGAAGTGGGTAACGCGTCGCAGAGCCATGGTAGTTGAGGTGGTTGCCTCGACCGGCCGTGTGGCGCAGCTGACGGAGTACCTGACCCGGCCACCGGGCTTTCGGCTTTGGGGGGCTTCATCTGGGGTAGGGTTTAGGGTTTAGGGTTTAGGGTTTAGGGTTTAGGGTTTAGGGTTTAGGGTTTAGGGTTTAGGGTTTAGGGTTTAGGGTTTAGGGTTTAGGGTTTAGGGTTTAGGGTTTAGGGTTTAGGGTTCAGGGTTCAGGGTTTAGGGTTTAGGGTTTAGGGTTTAGAGTTCAGGGTTTAGGGTTTAGGGTTTATGGTTTACGGTTTAGGGTTTAGGGCTTCGGGCTTAGGGCTTAGGGCTTCGGGTTTAGGGTTTAGGGTTTAGGGTTTAGGGGCGCAGACACCAGCGCTGAGTGTCTGTGTTCGCAAACCTTGAGGCAATGGCACAAGTTCTGTGCAAAAAGGGTTTAGGGGTTTTAGTGAACCCTGCTCTTTCTGTGGTTTCAAGGAACACCCCTGGTAGCTGGTGAACATGACGGCTTCCAGTTTAAAGAGCGTCTGTCTCTCTTTCTCGTACACCAACTTTGCCTGCCGTGTGCAATGGGACCCCTTGATGAGGTACAGCCAGAGCCCCTATCCTTGGTTTGTTCGGTTGGAGCTGCCATGCTGAGACGAAATCTTACTTTCGATAATTCCGTTTCATGTAAGCACCCTAAACCATAAACCCCAAAACCCCACACCCTAAACTCTAAACCCTAAACCCTAAACCCTAAACCCTAAACCCTAAACCCTAAACCCTACCCTGGTGACTTGATTCAGCAACCGAGCATCAGGCTGGGCGCCAGCGAGGTGATCGGCCGATTGGAGGCGACAGGTCTCAAGAAGCCATTGCAGGCTCAGGGCTTCGAAGACAAAAACCCTTGAGGGTTTTAGGGTTTAGGGTTTGGGTTTAGGGAAACCTTAAGGGTTTAGGGTCTTGGGGTTTTAGGGTTTTAGGGTGTTAGCGTTTTAGGGTTTAGGGTTCCGAATGCCTGAGAGAGAGAGAGAGAGAGTGGGTTTAGGGTTCAGGGTCTAGGGTTCGGGTTTAGGGCAATATCAACGCAATTTGCTCGTCCCTCATGAAACTTCCCCTAAGGAAGTTTCATCACGCTTTCTCACACAAACACCTATTCACCCAAGTCGCCATATAGTTGCGAGAGTCGAAACCCCAAACCCTAAACCACTCCCTTCAGGAACAGCGATGGGCCGCCGTCGTGGACTGTGCTGGAGGGCCGGCACTAGGCTCCTGGACGCCAGTTTGGACGGTTTTGTTTTTTCCTAGAGAGGCCATGAGAGCCCAATGCCCAGGGTTTCGGGTTTAGGGTTTAGGGTTTAGGACTTAGCTTAGGACTTAGGACCTGCGGAGTAGCCATAGAACTCCGGCACCGCCAGACAAGCCACGATAGGGGTGTAGGAAATGGGTGGTGGGGGTCCCTGTGGGTTTCGGGTTACCTCAAAAATAAGACAGTAATCCCTACATTGCCCTTGTAAGCAAGAATTTGTTTCGTGACTTTTTTTTTTTTGGGGGGGGGGGGGGTTTTAACCAAATAGTAGAAACCCAGATCGAAGATGGCTCGAGAGGTTTTGGGTACACACTCAGTGCGGGCCTCACCTCACTGCTAAGGTCCAGCGTGTCAGTGTGTGTGTCGTCTTAGGGTAGGTATATGGGCCTGTAGGGTTTAGGGTTTAGGGTTACGGGTTTAGGGTTTAGGGCTACTATCAAAAGGTTTTTACATGGGCTCTTAATGTGGTCCCCTACCTACTTTAGAGGGCTCTGAAGTATGGGCCCTTGGGTTGCGGGTATACGAGGGGTGTATAAGGGGTCTCCCTTTAGGGGCCCATATGAAGGGACTCTGTAACTACCCGAAGGTATAGGGAGGGCTTGCGCGCAAGTGTGAAGGGTTTGAGGGGTCAAGGTTTCTCTAAGGGCCCATGTACCATTTTGTGATATACTTGGGGTGCAAAAGTCCCTGTATAGGAGGTGCTTTTGGGGCGCAAGTATTCCCTATTTAGGTACATGGGCCCTATTTAGGTGCATGGACCCTTAGCTTTCAGGCACTCTAAGCAGAAAGCCCCCAGGCAGGGCGGCAGTCGTTTCCCGGCCCGATATCAGCCCTCTGAACCTTATAAAGCTTTGTAATCACCCTATTAACCTTCTACTGGTTGGTGGGCTCTTTATGTAGGGTTTCTGTTTTGTAGGAGGGTTCTTATTAGGGTATGTAGAGGCTATCTCATGGTATAAGCTTTATAAGATATGCCCTGTAGACAACCCCACAAATCCTATTCGCCCGACCTCTCCTTATAAGTATTGGTGAGTGTATTTAGGGATACAAGCCCGCCCCAAACCCTATAAACCCTAAAATCCCTACTTCATATCCTTCGAAACCCTAAACCCTAAACCCTACACCCTACACCCTAAACCCTAAACCCCAAACCCCAAACCCTAAACCCTAAACCCCAAACCCTAAACCCTTCAACCCTTTCAAAAGGCTCCGCGCTGGCGCAGCTCAAGTTCCAGGGGGCTGCAGCCTGCATCGGCGTGGCTGGAGGGAGCCTCGCAAGAGCCAAGGGAGTGTGGGGTTTAGGGTTTAGGGTTTAGGGTTTAGGGTTTAGGGTCCTCTAGCCCCGATCCCGAGGAGCGGCCTGGATTCCACCATCTTCCCCTTCGTCCTCCGTGGCATTCGGCTCCTGGGAGTCGACTCCACCCTTCCCTGGAACGTTGCGGGCCTCGGGGAGGACCCTAGTTCCCTAGACCCTAGACCCTAAACCCGAAACCCGAAACCCTGAACCCTAAACCCTAAACCCTAAACCCTAAACCCTAACCCCTAACCCTAACCCTAAACCCTAAACCCTAAACCCTAAACCCTAAACCCTAAACCCTAAACCCTAAACCCTAAACCCTAAACCCTAAACCCTAACCCGAAAACCTACACCCTAAACCCAAGTTTCGAGAGTTTGGCCGTTTGAGATATAAGGGCTCAGGGGTTTAGAATAAACATGCCCTAAACCCTGTAAGCCCTGTAAACCCCGTAACCCCTATAACCCCTACAAACCCCATAAACCCCATAAAACCCATAAAACCGTAAACCTTACCGGTGATGAACACACAGCCCCTCATCCACGCCTCCTCCGTACAGGACCCGGCGGAATGGCAACGGAACCTGTGTCATAGTTGGGTACCATTTTACATTTTTAAGGGTACTTAAACCCTATAAGGAATGGAAACCCCAAACCCTAAACCCTAAACCTTAAACCCTAAAGCTTACTATTCTCCCAACCATGAACTAGGAACAGGGATCGGCGTGTGGAGATCTGGCGGCGGATGACGACGGATTTGCCCGTGGAGGCCCTGCACCGCATGCATGAAGCGACCATTCCGATGGAGGAGCTGCACGGCTTGGGAACTAGGGTTTAGGGTTTATAGGGTTTATAGGGTTTAGGATTTAGGAGAGAGGGTTTAGGGTTTAGGTTAGCTATATAGGTTCCGTGTGCAGCCTCTTAAAGGTAGCTCTACCAGGGGTGTCTAGGTATCTACGGTACCTAAACCCGAAACCCGAAACCCTAAACCCTACTAAACCCTAAACCCTACTAAACCCTAAACCCTACTAAACCAAAACCCTACTAAACCCTAACACCCTAAACCCTAAACCCTATCAGAAACTCCCTGAATTCAGAGCTCCTAAGGTTGCCTGCTTGGGGCGACAAGCTTCTGAGTGGCGGGGTGAGAGGCCGCGTGGTCGTTCGTGTGGCCGGCTGAGCTTTCACCTGCTTCCTTTTCTCTTGGTAGCCCAGTGGTTTAAGGTTTAGTAATTTAGGGTTTAGGGTTTAGGGTTTAGGGTTTATAAAGTAACCAACCCCAAAAAAGGGTGCCCTTATTGTAAGATGGTGGCTAGGCTACCAAGTTCTCGGTTTTCCAAACAGAGAGGGACATGGCGAAGGAAGAAAAGAGCCCGCATCTCGAGGTGGCTTTGCGGGGTTTGGGGTTTAGGGTTTAGGGTTAGGTGTTTAGGGTTTAGGGTTTTGGGTTTAGGGTTTAGGGTTTAGGGTTAGGTGTTTAGGGTTGGGGGTTTTATGGTTTAGGGCCAGTTTTGGGTCTAGGCTTTAGTGTTTTGAGGGTTTAGGGCAAGCATGCTCAAAGGGAAGGATCCTTTCATGAGCGTTTTCTTTAGAAGGGTCCATGTACCATGTATTTACCCTAAACCCTAAACCCAAAAAGTCTCTATATAGGAAGCACTTGAAAGGCCCCAGTATTCCCTCTTTAGGTACTAGGGCTATGGACCCTCTAAACCTGAACCCTAAACCCGAATCCCTAAGCCCTAGTCCCTAATCTCTAACCCTAAACCCTAAACCCTAAACCCTAAACCCTAAACCGGAGTGTCAGCTAGGCGGGTGGCAAAAAAAACGCCCTAAACCCTAAACCCTAAACCCTAAACCCTAAACCCACTCAGCCTCAGGTATGCCAACGGCAAGAACTCCTTCCACTGGCCGGTCAAAGTGCGACAAGCCTTGGGGTCCGAGCCCCTCTTTGGAGCTTCAACTTTTAAGGGTTTTAAGGTTAGGGTTTAGGGGTTTAGGGTTTAGGGTTTAGGGTTTAGGGTTTAGGGGTTTAGAGTTTAGGGTTTAGGGTTTAGGGGTTTAGGGGTTTAGGGGTTTAGGGGTTTACTCCGCAAAAAAGGGTTTCGGGTCTTGGGCTTCTTGAGTCCAAGGGTTTTCGGCCTTTCGGTTTGAGGGTTTCGGGGTCCTAGGGTAGGGACTCAGGGGGGACATGGGCCTCCCTCACCCCTAAACCACCTAAACCCTAAACCCCAAAGCCTTTTCAAAACCCTAAACCCCCTCAAAAACGTAACAAAAAAAAGAAGCGCAGCCCGTGAGGAATCGCCACGTCCGAGCCTTGGACTCTCTCCCCGGGCTGGTGACACTCTCCCTGGGTTGGTCAGCAAAGTGACGGTTTGCGCGTCGGATTGAGAACTGCGAACGTTGATGTGACATTCGGGGGATACTAGTAGGGGTTTGGGTGGAGAGAGAGAGAGAGAGCGATACATACAGACATGTATGTTATATATATATATATATATATTTGTTTTTTTATATATTTGTTTATCTATTTATTTTTATGTATAGGTGTAGACATACATACAATACAATACAATGTATGTGTATGTATACATAGATATTTATGCCCAACATGCATCTTCGGGCGTTGGTCATTCCCTGCAAACTTGCGGCACAAGATGCCCCTGAAAGCATTGTAATTGACTCGGAATCTAGATTCGCACTGTGCTAAACCCTCAAGCCTAAACCCAAAGGCTCCAATGTAGTTCCTTTTTGGGGTAGTATACTAGACTAGAATCCGCTATAACTACCCCGAAAAGGTACTACGTAGGAGCCTTTGGGTAAACCCTAGACCCTACCAACGCGGCAGGAACTCAGCGCTTGGAGTTCTAAGGTTGTGGCGACGGCTTGCCCCCTCGCATTTAGGCAAACTCTTGGTCCAAACAAACCCCAATTAATAAGCACACCTTAAAGCAATAGAGCTATAGTTGTGGAATACAGCTTAATTAAGGGATTTTTCAGACATAAGGGTCCATGTACCATGTTGTTATATACTTGGGGGCCCAACGTTCCCTATACAGGAGGTACTTTACGGCCCAAGTATCCAACCCTAAACCTAAACCCCAAACTCTAAACCCCAAACCCCAAACCCTAAACCCTAAACCCCAAACCCTAAGCCGCCACCTCTTGCGGCTTAGGGTTCCCGAAGCGCCAGCTCGGGTGCCCAGGCACAGAGCTACACTGCAGAGGTGGAGCAGATACTTGGCTGACTTAGGGAATTTAGGGTTCAAGGTTTGAGGGTCTGTAGTTTGCGGCTTAACGTTTCTGCGTTGAAGGTTTTAGGGTTTAGGGTCTGTGTTTCAGGGTTCAGGGCTTGCCAGGAGCCCCAAAGTAGAAAAGATTTTTAGGGTCCAGGAATGTCACGCGACGTTTGTCTACTGTGGGGGGGGGGGGGGGTAGGGATGCAAAGGGTTTAGGGTAGGTTCATGGAAAATCCCTACAGCATGAGCGCTTTCAGACAGAGAGGTCTTCGGTTGCTTACTTTCTCAATGTTCTGTGTCCCTGAATCTTGCCGGCACGCAGAAACTCACTGACGCCCGCGTGTAGGTTTGCCTAGTACTGGCCGCTGAGCATCAACACACCCTTGAAACCCCTAAAATCCCTAAACCCTAAACCCCCTTTTGGGCCCAAGTATATAATTCTGCCAGCAGTCTACGACCAGTTGGAGAGACTGTGCGCGCCTGCGTGCCCAGATGAACTCTGCACTGCGATTTCGGCCTGTGAATGCCACGAAGCTAGGTTGCTGTCTTCTGGATGCATGCGAATTGCTGCACGGGCCCAGGGATTGAACGCTAGACTTTCTGAACCTGCTTGCACGGAATCACAAACAAGCACACCCTTTGCGCCAGCTTGGTAACTTTTCAGGGAAAGAGAAGGCTTCAGAGTTTAGGAGTTTTGGTTTAGAAGCCAGTCCTCAAGACCAGTTGCAACAAAAGGGCTTAGAAGCTTCGATTTTCAACAGTTTGCCTAGGGCTCTCCAACACCTTCCACCCAGAATATGTCGGGCTGCCCTAAACCCTAAACCCTAAACCGCCTAAACCCTAAACCCTAAACCCTAAACCCTAAACCCTAAACCCTAAGCTGCCCAAGGAAGTTTGAGCTGCACCATCCCATCCACCCTTTCCAACTTGCTTGGCGGGTCTGCCGCGGCCTTAGTCAAGGGCTTATTTGTAGGGTTTAGGGCTTAGGGTTTAGGGTTTAGGGTTTAGGGGGGCTGTCAAAATCATGATCCTTTTTGGGGTACAAGGAAGGGCCCCCCTAGTTAGAAGTAGAGTTATAAATACCCTAAAACGGGTTATAAGGATCCTAACTTAGGTTAGAAGTCCCTTAACTATAGTTAGTATAGTAAGGGGGCCCCTCCTTGTAGGTACCCTAAATATTAGGTGCCGTATGATGGTAGGGATCCAAAAAAGGACCAGAGAGGGACAGCCTTCCCCTGCGAATAACGGTTTAGGGTTTAGGGTTTAGGGTTTAGGGTTGTGACACTACAAGGCCTCGACCGCAGCTCGGGCGCGAGCAGTTTCGGCCTAGGCACAGCAGGGCTTGCGGCTTGGAGGGCTTTAGGGCCTAGGGTTTAGGGTTGGGTTGTTTAGGGTCTAGGGTCTAGGGTTGGGCTGTTTAGGGTTGAGGGTTTAGGGTTTAGGGTTAAGGGTTAAGGGTTTGGGCTTCGGGGTTGGGTTCAGAAAACGCGGGCCTTTGCCAGGGAGGGTTTGGGGCTTCAGGGGGTTATAGGGCCTATGGTTGAGGAGCATGTTGTAAAGGGGTGTAATAAGGGTTCGGGTGCATGGTTCGTCAGACCTCGGCCCTGTAAACGCCGCCTTTGCAAAAACCCGAAACCCTAAACCCTAAAGCCTAAACCCTGGGTTGCTCAAAAGAGGTCCCAGACAGCAGCAACACAGAACTTCAGAATGGCCTCCGGCCCCCTCATCCTGTAGAAAGCTGCGGTACCACTGTCATTTCGGCTTAGGGTTCTGCGTTAAAATCTCAGCAGTCAGTCCTAGCCATCAAAAAAAAGCGTTTGTGCATTGCCTGCACTCACTGCCCACCACCCCCCCCCCCCCCCCCCCCGCCAAAGCGCGTGTTTTCGTGGACTCATGCAGATGGGAGGCTCAGGCTCAGGGTGTCGTTCAAGCCTTTACCGGTAAGGGGCGTCCAGTTCACCCTACCCAAAGGCTCCAATGTAGTTCCTTTTTGGGGTAGTACACTATAGAATCCCCTAGAACTACCCCGAAAAGGTACTACATAGGAGCCTTTGGGTAAACCATAAACCCTAAACCCCTGTTGCAGCAGGACAGTTAATCAGCCGCCTTGGCCACGTCGGCTCAGTAGTCGCTGCCCCTCAACCGCTCCTGTTTCGCTGCGCCTTCTCCTGTCGGGGGGCCCGCGCCTTATAACCCTAAACCCTAAACCCTAAACCCAAATCCTAGCCCCTAAACCCTAAACCCTACACCCTACACCCTAAACCCTAAACCTTCTAGTGCTGCTTAGGGCTTCAGATGGCTTCAGGGTTCTTAGGTTTTTAGGGTCAGGAGATGGGCTCGCAGGTTCAACCGGTAGGCTAGGGGTAGGTGCAGAGTTTAAGGTTTAGGGCGCATACTCGGGCAGGGACTTTCCGGGTGGATGCCCAACCTGCAGGGTTTCGTGGTTAGTTGCATGGGTTTTCCGGGTTTTTGCGGTTCGGGCGTGCATGCTACGGCCCTGCAAGTCCTCGAGGCACCAACTCACGGACTTCGCCTCCCTCCTTCTCACCACACAAGCAACAGGAAAGCTAAACCAAATAAAAACACATGATTTCACATTCTAAGCAATGGAGAAGATGTCAAGAAAACACAACATCAGAATCCAGACATTATTTCTGTACTTCTAATGGCTATTCTTCTGCAAGTCTTCACTATTGCATATATATATATATATATGTATTTATGTTTTATTTCGATTTTTCTTTATATTTATGTTTAAATTTAAATTTATATTTATATTTTTATTAATGTTTATTTATATTTGTATTCTCTAACGGTTACGAATCGTTATACATACATATATATCTATATACTTAATATCAAAACCCCGAACATAAGCCGAGAAGTATCTTGCCTTGGACACTGAGGACCACAAGGAGCCGAGATGGGCTCTCTTCTATCCACGCCAGGCTCGACAGGCACCGTAGGGGCGTAGGGGCGCCCGTTGTTGTACGTAATTCAGAATAGTAACTCACGTGCATACATATATATATATGTGTGTGTGTATGTATATATATATATATATGTGTGTGTGTGTGTGTGTGCGCATGTGTGTCTGTGTGTGCATGTGTGTCTGTGTGTCTGTGTGTCGGCGTGTGCGTGGCCCGAAGCACCCTTGGTGTCCTAACTCTAAGCCGCAGCCTATCCCACAGACCCCCTGTGCCCTTGAGATGTTAGGCTCTAGACTCTAGCCGCCACTTGGAGGTTCATGGGTAATTATAACCCCAATTACTTATAACCTACTTGTAGGACTTAGGGGACTTAGGGGGCTTATAAGTACAGACCCTAAGCCCAAAAACCCTAAAGTTATCATTGGGGTTATGAGTACCCTGAACCTCCAAGTAGCCTGAGCAGATCGCTGGCTGGAAGCGGCAGAGTCAGACCAGGAGCCTGACAACACCGCAGCGGCTCGTCCCCTTTACTAGATCAGTGTTAGGGATCCTTTTTACTTGTTGGGTTATGGGCTTTCTTATATATGAACAACAAGGATCCTTTTTTCTTCCTAGGGGAACAGGGATGAAGTTTAGGCGTTGAGGGTTTATTGCGTTTAGGGTTTAGGGTTTAGGGTTAAGGGTTAAGGGTTAAGGGTTAAGGGTTGCCTTTCGAGTTATTTACCGTTACAAAAAGCCCTAAAAGTAGACTCTGTAGGCCCGATATGAGCCCTAGAACCCTTAAGAAGACGAGAATGGTATACTTACGGTGCCTAAAATGGGGAGACGCAGGATACTGAATCGGGGTATTTCGGGTGTACCATACATGCAGGGGTAGAATGTGGCGGAAGTGGCTTCAACTCCCCAGGTCTCTATTGCGAATTTAACACACTTTGAGGTTTAGGGTCTCCTAATAAACTCTGAACCCTATAAACCCTCTTGACCCTCTGAACCCTCCCCCTGAATAATGCAGCCAAATTGACTTTAATCAGAAGGCCCTACTCAAAAGGGTGCAACATAAAGCGCTCCAGAATAGCACAAAGTAGGTATGATGTACAGACTTTAGACCCCCAAATCCAGGTATTATTTGTATATTTGGGAGCTAAACCCTAAACCCTAAAACCCTAAACCCTAAACCCTAAACCCTAAACCCTAAACCCTAAACCCTAAACCCTAAACCCCCAATGTAGGCATTATTTGTATACTGGGAGCCCTATTGGCCCTGAGGCTGCGCAGCGGCCCATCCCGCCTGCGGCCACCCGGGCCGCTTGCCGGGCATGGGCTCCACATTTTTTTGTTTTGAGGGTTTAGGGTTTAGGGTTTGGGGTTTAGGGTTTAGGGTTTAGGGGACTTTTTGTTTTGTGTGTGTGTGTGTGCGTATGTGTTTTTTTGGGGAGGGCTTCTATTGTGGCAGATTCCTTCTGTATAGTTCAGGGCACAAAGGGCCCACATCGCGGGAGGCTGCTGTATCAGATTAGGGTTTAGGGGTTCCTTGCTAGTTAGGGTCGGGTGATGTGGCCCAGTCGCCCCACCCCCACCCCCATCCACTTCCAGCATGCGTGGTAGCTTTGCCAGAGAATTTGTGGTTGAAGCCCGTCTCTTAAAGAGTGCACTGTCAGATCCACGTTGCCCCAAAAAAGTTATAATTGTTTTTGGTTTTCCCCAAACAGTCTACTGTTGGGCATCTACATTCATTTTTGGTTTGCCGACATTTTTGCGGACTGTTGCCTGGACTCCTTGTCTCCCTTTGTCTCCCTTTGTCTCCCTCTGTCTCCCTTCATGTGGGTGGCTCTGCCGGGGTGCTCCCTTTGCCTCCCTGTGTCTCCCTTCGTCTCCCCTTTGTCTCCCGTCGTCTCCACTGTTTCTTTGACGCGCCTTTGCCTGTTTGGGGTCTTCGGTGTTTTTTGTCTTTTTGCGGGGGGGGGTGGGAGGGGGCGGTCCCACAAGCAGAAAGATGATTTTGGAGTACATGCGGCGCATGCGAGACCTTATGCAGGGCAGGCGGATGACGGTGACCCTGCCGCCGCGGAACTTACCGACGCACTGGTCGCCGATGTCGCCGCTTTCGCCGCGTGTGACCAACTTCCAGGCGGAAACCCCTGTAAAGCTGAGGAGCAGACAGGTTGCAAGGTCTCAGCCTACATACTTGCAGAAGTTGGAGAAGCAAATTGTATGATTGATGCCGCAACTACATGTCTGCAAGCATCTCCGTGCTTTTTTGGCAGCCTGGTTGGTGCCGAAACCCTCGAACCCTCAAATGGCTTCAGTCTTGTTTAGGCGCTGCTTTCCCTGAACCCTAAACCCTAAACCCTAAATTGGACCCTAAACCCTCTAGATCATGATCAAGTCAGAAGTTCTCTCTCATGCTTGCTCGCTCGCTCGCTTGCTTGTGTGTCAGACCTAGGCCGTTTTGCGGGCAGATTGCTTGATCCAGGCAGCACGTATACCCCGGGCTAGGCTGTGTGAATGTGCAAGTCTTTCGTAAGCTTGTGTCTCCATGTTTGTAGCTGTCTTTGTCTGCGTCTCCCTCTCCTCTCTGTTTTTTTTTGGCAGACTTACTTAGGTCGGTGGATATGCATTCGGCATACATATACAAACGGTATGTTTCTGTGCATGTGTACATGTAAATATGTATCCGCATGCATGTATATATATACATATATATATATATGTATATGTACGTATATCTCTCTCTTCTTGCCTAGCATACCTCCGAGTACCACAAGGCATCATCAGGTTCGCAACGACATTCTCCCGCCACGAAGCATTGACTAAACCCTAAAACCCTAAACCCTAAACCCTAAACCCTAAACCCTAAACATGGCGCAGGACGATGACCCGCTGGAAGCTGAAGAGCAGATGCCGCGGGACGTTCCGGAACCCGATCCGGAACCTGGTCTCAGGGGATGGCTTCAGAATATACTATTTGCTTAAGAACCCCCCCCCCCCAAAAAAAAAAAAAAAGAGTTTTCTTAAGAACCCCCCCCCCAAAAAAAAAGAGAGAACAACAACAACAAAGGTTATTCCTTATAAGGGCAATATAGGGATTATCTTTAAAAAAGAGAGCAACAACAACGAAGTTATTCCTTATAAGGGCAATATAGGGATTCTCTTTACATGTTTGTTGGGGGTTTAGAGAACAGGGTGTGGGAGGGGAAGGGTCTGCACGCATCGTCTTCATGCTTTTCACACCGGTCAGTTGTGAGCGTTTTTTTGTAGCCACGAGTCTTTCGAATCGAAGTGCTGCCGCGTTGTGTCCGAGACAAGCATGCCCGCACTTGGGTGGAGGGTTTAGGGTTTAGGGACTACCCTAGCTACCCTAAACCCTAAACCCTAAACCCTAAACCCTAAACCCTAAACC